TAGGATTTTTTCTTCTTTCTGATACTTAAAATAACAGTATTGTGATTATCATTATTGACAATATGATTGTGTTCTTAATGCTAATGATAATATGGAATAAGAAAAGATAAGAAAAATCAAGGAAAGCAATTAACAGAACAGATGAGATAGGTAGGACTATTGATTGACTCCTTGGAATGTATGTACTTGAGGAGCCATTTATATGTAAATACAATCAATAAACTAAACTAACACTGTATGAAGTGGACCTTTCATATCAAAAAGTGATTTTTGATTGTGTTCATTCATACAGTAATTCTGGTTATTATTTTTTGACAAACATGATTTTGTAACGCTGATGAGTAGGTGGCATATATGAAATAAAATTGTAAGGGCAGGAATATTCAGCACCCTTCTAAATTTGAAATAATTCCATTTTGTTCTAAAATGCACGTGGTATCATGTAATTTTTACATACAATACAGATATGTAGATAATGGATTTTTTAGCTATAATTTGTGTGTCTGAAAACAATAACTTTGGAGAAAAAATGGTTAAAATTTGGGAAAATGTGCCTTTGCCATGTATTGATTGATGGATGAATTTCTTGTTTATTTGTGTAGGGATATAGTTTTTAGACATTTTCAGTTATTTTTAAATATTTTTTTTTTTGTAGTATCATTACTGTTCATTTCTTTATTGATATTCTTCATTATTATATTTACAGTTGTCAGGAGCATTATCTTGACTTTGGTTTTTAATATGATCATTATACTCCACCACCACCACTATTATTGATACTGTTATTTCTGTTAATATGGCAGTTCTACTTGACTGCTACTTTCCTTTGTTAACACTTTTGCCATCAGTGTTTCCTTCCATGGCATCACAGTTTCAATATCAGTGGTAAAATAATATTTTTTTAAAAGTGGATTTTGAATATGTATAGTATGTATGTATTTATGCTTGTGTGTATGTGTGTTTCTTTGTTTGTTTTTTTTCACTTCTTTTGTGGTTGTGTGTATGTATGTATATATGTACACACACACACACACACACACACACACACACACACACACACACACACACACACACACACACACACACACACACACACACACACACACACACACACACACATATATACACACATATATACACACATATATATACACACATATATATACACACATATATATACACACATATATATACACACATATATATACACACATATATATACACACATACATATACACACATACATATACACACATACATATACACACATACATATACACACATACATATACACACATACATATACACACATACATATACACACATACATATACACACATACATATACACACATACATATACACACATACATATACACACATACATATACACACATACATATACACACATACATATACACACATACATATACACACATACATATACACATACATATACACATACACATACATATACACATACATATACACATACATATACATATACATGCATATAAATATATATGTAAATATATATATATATATATATATATATATATATATATATATATATATATATATATATATATATATATATATGTATATATATATGTATGTATTATATGTATATATATTTTTATATATGTATATATTATATGTATATATATTTATATATATGTATATATTATATGTATATATATTTATATATGTGTATATATTATATGTATATATATATTTATATATGTGTATATATTATATGTATATATATATTTATATATGTGTATATATTATATGTATATATATATTTATATATGTGTATATATTATATGTATATATATATTTATATATGTGTATATATTATATGTATATATATATTTATATATGTGTATATATTATATGTATATATATATTTATATATGTGTATATATTATATGTATATATATATTTATATATGTGTATATATTATATGTATATATATATTTATATATGTGTATATATTATATGTATATATATATTTATATATGTGTATATATTATATGTATATATATATTTATATATGTGTATATATTATATGTATATATATATTTATATATGTGTATATATTATATGTATATATATATTTATATATGTGTATATATTATATGTATATATATATTTATATATGTGTATATATTATATGTATATATATATTTATATATGTGTATATATTATATGTATATATATATTTATATATGTGTATATATTATATGTATATATATATTTATATATGTGTATATATTATATGTATATATATATTTATATATGTGTATATATTATATGTATATATATATTTATATATGTGTATATATTATATGTATATATATATTTATATATGTGTATATATTATATGTATATATATTTATATATGTGTATATATTATATGTATATATATATTTATATATGTGTATATATTATATGTATATATATATTTATATATGTGTATATATTATATGTATATATATATTTATATATGTGTATATATTATATGTATATATATATTTATATATGTGTATATATTATATGTATATATATATTTATATATGTGTATATATTATATGTATATATATATTTATATATGTGTATATATTATATGTATATATATATTTATATATGTGTATATATTATATGTATATATATATTTATATATGTGTATATATTATATGTATATATATATTTATATATGTGTATATATTATATGTATATATATATTTATATATGTGTATATATTATATGTATATATATATTTATATATGTGTATATATTATATGTATATATATATTTATATATGTGTATATATTATATGTATATATATATTTATATATGTGTATATATTATATGTATATATATATTTATATATGTGTATATATTATATGTATATATATATTTATATATGTGTATATATTATATGTATATATATATTTATATATGTGTATATATTATATGTATATATATATTTATATATGTGTATATATTATATGTATATATATATTTATATATGTGTATATATTATATGTATATATGTATTTATATATGTGTATATATTATATGTATATATATATTTATATATGTGTATATATTATATGTATATATATATTTATATATGTGTATATATTATATGTATATATATATTTATATATGTGTATATATTATATGTATATATATATTTATATATGTGTATATATTATATGTATATATATATTTATATATGTGTATATATTATATGTATATATATATTTATATATGTGTATATATTATATGTATATATATATTTATATATGTGTATATATTATATGTATATATATATTTATATATGTGTATATATTATATGTATATATATATTTATATATGTGTATATATTATATGTATATATATATTTATATATGTGTATATATTATATGTATATATATATTTATATATGTGTATATATTATATGTATATATATATTTATATATGTGTATATATTATATGTATATATATATTTATATATGTGTATATTATATGTGTATATATTATATGTGTATATATATTTATATATGTGTATATATTATATGTTTATATATATTTATATATGTGTATATATTATATTTATATATATATTTATATATGTGTATATATTATATGTATATATATATTTATATATGTGTATATATTATATGTATATATATATTTATATATGTGTATATATTATATGTATATATATATTTATATATGTGTATATATTATATGTATATATATATATTTATATATGTGTATATATTATATGTATATATATATTTATATATGTGTATATATTATATGTATATATATATTTATATATGTGTATATATTATATGCATATATATATTTATATATGTGTATATATTATATGTATATATATATTTATATGTATGTGTGTGTGTGTGTGTGTGTGTGTGTGTGTGTGTGTGTGTGTGTGTGTGTGTGTGTGTGTGTGTGTGTGTGTGTGTGTGTGTGTGTGTGTGCTTATATATATATATATATATATTTATATGTATATATATATTTATATATGTGTATATATTATATGTATATATATATTTATATATGTGTATATATTATATGCATATATATATTTATATATGTGTATATATTATATGTATATATATATTTATATGTATGTGTGTGTGTGTGTGTGTGTGTGTGTGTGTGTGTGTGTGTGTGTGTGTGTGTGTGTGTGTGTGTGTGTGTGTGTGTGTGTGTGTGTGTGTGCTTATATATATATATATATATATATATATATATATATATATATATATATATATATATATATATATATGTATACATATAGATATATATATATATTTTTTTTTTTTTTCACTCTCCCATATATATATATATATATATATATATATATATATATATATATATATATATATATATATATATATGTATGTATGTATATGTATATTTGTGTGTGTGTGTGTGTATTATATATATATGTATATATATATATGTATATATATATATATATATATATATATATATATATATATATATATATATATATATATATATATATATATATATATATATATATGATATTTTTTTATTTATTTATCATTATTATTATTTCTTTTTTGCCTTCCCCCAACAACATGCATTTATTTTGTTTGTCATTTCTTTTTGTATGGGTTATTTAATACATTATTCTACCTGTGTGTTGTATTTTATGGCCAAACTTTGTAGTGAGTAGAAATTGTTGATAGACCTAAATGTGAATGTAAACAAACTGTGATAGGAGTTTGCTGTATGTACCATATTATAAATTACTATTGAATTTTCATTATATA